GTGATGATTTTATACAGGTGTATATTGCAAAATGTCTACCACAATAAGATTAGTCAGCACATCCTTTACTTCACGTAATACTATTTTGTTGTTGTTATGGTGAAAACATTAAAGCTGTACTCTCATAACAGCTTTAAAGTACAGAATATAGTATTAACACAAGGGACAATACTGTTCACTTTTATATGGTTTTGTTGTTCAGGTGCTCAGTGGTGTCTGACTCTTTGCGACCCCATGGACTACAGCATACCACGCTTCCCTTGTACTTCACTATCTCCTGGAGTTTGCTCAAACTCCTGACCATTGAGTTGATGATGCCATTCAACCATCTCATCTTCTGTTGTCCCCTTCTCCCCCTTCCCTCAATCTTCCCAGCATCAGAGTCTTTAGCAATGAGTCAGCTCTTTGCATCACGTGGCCAAAGTATTGGAGCTTCAGCTTCAGCATCAGTCCTTCCAATGAATATTCAAGAATGTCCTCTATTTCTTTGCATTGATCACTGAGGAAGGCTTTCTTATCTCTCCTTGCTATTCTTTGGAACTCTCCATTCAGTTGGGTATATCTTTCCCATTCTCCTTTGCCTTTTGCTTCTCTTCTTTTCTCAGCTATTTGTAAAGCCTCCTCAGACAACCATTTTGCCTTCTTGCATTTCTTTTTCTTGGGGATGGTTTTGGCACCACTTCCTGTACAATATTTTGAACCTCTATCCATAGTTCTTCAGGCACTCTGTCTGTCAGATCGAATTCCTTTAATCTATTTGTCATGTTCACTCTATAATCATAAGGGATTTGATTTAGGTCATACCTGAATGGTCTAGAGGTTTTCCCTACTTTCTTCAATGTAAGTCTGAATTTTGCAATAAGGAGCTCATGATCTGAGCCACAGTCAGCTCCAGGTTTTGTTTTTGCTGACTGTATAGAGCTTCTCCATCTTTGGCTGCAAAGAATATAATCAATCTGATTTCACTATTGATCATCTGGTGATGTCCATATGTAGAGTCATCTCTTGTGTTGTTGGAAGAGGGTGTTTGCTGTGACCAGTGTGTTCTCTTGGGAAAACTCTGTAAGCCTCAACCCTGCTGCATCTTGTACTCCAAGGCCAAATTTGCCAGTTACTCCAGGTATCTCTTGACTTCCTACTTTTGCATTCTAGTCTGCTACGAAGAAAAGAACATCTTTTTTTTAATGTCAGTTCTAGAAGGTCTTGTAAGTATTCACAGAATTATTCAAATTCAACTTCTTTAGCATTAGTAGTCGGGGCATAGACTTGGATTACTGTGATGTTGAATGGTTTGGCTTGGAAACGAATGGGGATCATTCTGTTATTTTTGAGACTGCAAGACTCTTTTGTTGACTATGAGGGCTACTCCATTTCTTCTAACAGATTCTTGCCCACAGTAGTAGATATAATGCATGCATGCTCAGTCACTTTAGTCATGTCTGACTCTTTGCAATCCCATGGACTGTAGCCCACCAGCCTCCTCTGTCCATGGGATTCTCCAGGCAAGAATACAAGTGGGTTGCCATTTCCTGCTCCAGGGAATCTTCCTGACCCAGGGATTGAACCCGCATCTCCTGTGTCTCCTGCACTGCAGGCAGATTCTTTACCACTGAACCACGGGGGATGGACATCTGAATTAAATTCACCCATTCCCATCCATTTTGGCTCACAGATTCCTAAAATGTTAATGCTCACTCTTGCCATCTCCTGTTTGACCACATCCAATTTACCTTGATTCATGGACCTAATATTCCAGGTTCCTATGCAATATTGTTTTTTACAGCACCAGACTTTACTTTCACCACCAGACACATACAGCCACAACTGGGTGTCATGTCCACTTTGGCTAGCCTCTTCATTCTATTTCTCCAATCTTCCCCAGTAGCATATTGGACACCTACCAACCTGGGGGGCTCATCTTTCAGTGTCATATCTTTTTGCCTTTTCATACTCTTCATGGGGTTCTCAAGGCAAGAATGCTGAAGTGGTTTGCCATTCCCTTCTCCAATGGACCACATTTTGTCAGAACTCTTCACCATGACCCATCTGTCTTGGGTGGCCCTGCACGGTATGGCTCATATTTTCATTGAGTTATACAAGGCTGTGATCATTTTGGTGATCATTTTGGTCAGTTTTCTGTGATTATGGGTTTTCATTCTGTCTTCCCTCTGACAGATGAGAATAAGAGGCTTGTGTAAGTTTCCTTATAGGAGGGACTGCCTATGCGGGGAAACTGAGTCTTGCTCTGGTGGGCAGGGCCATGCTCAGTAAATCTTTAATCCAATTTTCTGCTGATGGTGGGGCTGTGCTTCCTTCATGTAGTTTGGCCTGAGGCAGCCCTCTTGGAGTATGCAATCTCTATGGTAGGTCTATAGGTTCTGTGGTGGGGCTAATGGCAACCTCCTCCAAGAGGACTTATGTCAACAGGCCATGCCTCCCAGGACTGCTGCTGTCAGTGCCCCTAACCCTGCAGCAGGCCACTGTCAACCTATGCCTCTGCTGGAGACCCCCAAACATTCATATGCAAGTCTGATTCAGTCTCTTATGAGGTCGCTGCTCCCTTCTCCTGGGTCCGGGTGCACACAAGGCTTTGTTTGTGCTCTCCCAGAGTCTCTGTTTCCCCAGTCCTGTGGAAGTTCAATAATCAAATCCCATTGACTTTCAAAGTCAAATTCCCTGGGGTTTCCCAGTTCCTTTGCCAGATCCCCGGGTTGGAAAGTCTGTTGTGGGGGCTAGAACTTTCACAACAGTGCAAGAACTTCTTTGATACAATTGTTCTCCAGTTTGAGAGTCGACCACCCGGTGGCTCTATGGCAGAGCTAATAACGACCACCTCCAAGAGGACTTATGCCACATACTGCACCTCCCAGGATTACTGCTGCCAGTGCCCCTGTCCCCATGGCAGGCTACTGTTGACCCACGCTTCTGACAGAGACTCCCAAACACTCACAGGCAGGTCTGGCTCAGGCTCTTGTGGGTCACTGTTCCTGGGTTCTGGTGTGGACAGGGTTTTGTTTGTGTCCTCCAAGAGTCTCAGGCAGGTATGAGGTTTGATTTTAACATGATTGCATCCTTCCTACTATCTCATTGAGGCTTCTCCTTTGTCCTTGGATGTAGGGTATCTTTTTTTGGTGGGTTCCAACATCCTCTTTTCAATGGCTTTTCAGCAGCTAACTGCAATTTTGGTGTTCTTACAGGAGAAGATGAGTGCATGTCCTTCTGTGAATTTCACCTCAATAAAAAAAGATTTTCAAATAAAAGTTGATTCTTTTCTAGGAGCTATACATTATAAGAAATATGAAAGGGGACACTTCAGGCTGAAAGAAATGATCACAGATGGAAGCATGCACCTTCAGAAAGGAAAAAAGTGCACTAACTGGTTAAAACGATGATAATAATGTCCTGTAGGGGGGTCGTATTTTGATAAAATTTACATAACATAAAAAATAACTCCCATGGGGTTTTTACATACATAGAAATACAATATATAACAAAGACAGCACAAAATATGAGAGGCCAATAAAAGGAGTGAAACTGTTATATGGTTCTTAAGGGTTCAGCAGATGGTAAAAATACTAATTTAAGATAGACTGGAATAAGTCAAGGATGCATATTATACTCTCCATGGTAATCACAAAAGAAATTATAAAATTAATAGAGGGTAGACTCGATCAAGTCCTCAGTGCAAACACATCACAGATGAGAAAACTGAAGGACAAAGTTCAAGGAACTTAGCCAAGGTGATACAAACCGGAACCTGATTTTCTCAGCCACATCTGATTGAACCAGACAGCCTAGCTATAATGGTTTGCCACAGCAGGAAAATAATTTGCCTTCACCAGTCAACTCAGACTGGAGTACTGGATGGGTCAGCTGGTGGCAACCAAAGAGATCAAACCCTGAGCCTTTGGAGTGGGAGCACTGACCCCAAGACCCTAGACTACCAGAAAACTAACTCTGAAGAAGTGAAGTGAAGTCACTCAGTCGTGTCCAACTCTTTGAGACCCCGTGGACTGTAGCCCACCAGGCTCTTCCGTCCATGGGATTCTTCAGGCAAGAATACTGGAGTGGGTTGCCATTTCCTTCTCCAAGGGATCTTCCCAACACAAGGATCAAACCCGGGTCTCCCACATTACAGGCNGAAAGCCTAGGTCTTCCTAAAACATTCACAGAAATATCACCATAGCCTTTATTCATAAGAATGAAAAAGTGGAAACACCCCAAATATCTATCAGTGTGTAAGCTATGGTATATTCATATAACAACCACCACACTGCAATGGAAAACAAGTTTCTGATATACGCAACAACATGGATCTCAGAGACACCAGACTATAAACAGTATAGATGCATCTATAAAAAGCTCAAAGAAAGACAAAACTAATCTATGTTTAGAGATCAAAACAATGGCTGCCCCTGGGGTTGGGAGTACTGATCAGAAAGGAACATAAGAGAACTTTTAGAGGTGATGAAAATGTTCTATAATTTGATTTGGATGATGATTAGACAGGATAACATGTATGTAGCAATTCACTAATTTGTATGCTTATGACTGTATACTTCACTGTTTTAAGATACACACAACTCAAAATGATCCTTTATAAAATTGGTTATATAAATGCTTTGGTAATAATGAGGTTTAAAATCCCTACTAAATCCATCAAGATAAACAATTATCTTTCAAAGCCTAAAACACATGGTCCCAGTGATCTCTAGAACTTAAGATATTATTTTACCAGCATTTAATTATTTCTTAAGTGGGGGGTGGTGGTAAGAAGTAACTCAGCGATGTAACATTCATTTCAAGAACAGTCAACACTGAAGTGCTAAATTTACTGAGAATTCAGAGCATACTTTCATTCACATTAAATACTATCAGCACCACACCAGGTACTCACCCTTCCAACCTAACATCTGGTAGAGATCTGTTGAGTGCAATCATCTCACTTGCCATTAAATTGAACTGATTGATTTTAAACATCTCTTTCATCTTTTCTTGATCCTCTTTAGGAATGACGACTGGTTTCCCCATTTCTCCAGGACCTTCATGAGGCTTTTGTACTGGCTCTAGAACTAAGAATAAGGAGGAAATTTAACTAACATTAATTTTACAGCAATTAATTCATGTTTCTATTGAATAACCTTTATGTTTAAACTATGCCCTCAACAACTAGAGCCACCTCTGAGCCCATCCTCTACCAATCTGGGACACAGCCTAGGGGCTGCCCTGTCCCTTGCTTCCACACTGTGCCCTGACTCCAGACGTTCTCACCATGCACCACTCCCTTGAATCACTGCATGGCCTTGGCACTCCCATCTCGAATATTGTGGCCACAGTAACTTCTCTAAAGCATAGTCTTCATTATGCTATTCCCATGGTCTCTGGGAGTCTAATCTCTTTAACAGGAAATTTAAGTTTCCAAACCTACCGCCTGCTGGGCTCTCCGCTTCCCAGCCCCCAGATGCTCACCCCTCCGTCAAGTGGCGCCTCCAGCTCTCCCCTCTGTGCCTCAGGCCTACCTGCGTTGGTGCCTCTGCTCACACTGGCCTCCTCCCTTGGCACCTCCCACCTCTACCTGGGCAACACCAAACCCACACTAGTCCTTCCAGGCCCAGCGAAGATGGCTTCTCTCCTGCGGCTTTTCTGTATCTCTCTCGAATGACAGCTTACTACTTTTGACCACACCATTTCATCCAGGGCTCTATGTCTCTAATCAATTGTTGTTGTTGTTTAGACACTCAGTCATGTCCAACTCTTTCTGACCCCATGGACTGTAGCCCGCCAGGCTCCTCTGTCCATGAGATTTCCCAGGCAAGAATACTGGAGTGGGTCGCCATTCCCTTCTCCAGGGGATTGTTCCTACCCGGGGATCAAAACTGCATCTCCTGCATTGGCAGGCAGATTCTCTATCACTGAGCCAGAAGCAAAGTCTCTCTAATCAACAGCTCTCCCTAATTATGATTGCTAAACATGCCTATGACACCCTACCTAGCTAGATTATGATTTCTTTATTAGCTGGAGTTTTTTGTTTATTCATGTACCTTCTGTGGAGTTTAGCAGTGTTTAATAGGCATTTTATAACTATATGCTAAATTAATACATGAGTACAAGTTATTCAAAATAAATCACAATGAAATCCTAGAATTAACAATAGTAGACATTATAGTAAGCATTATGCAAGGTGGAACATCAAGAAATATAATTCTAATCAGAAGTAATGTTGTCTCTTAACATAGAGTTGTTTCTCAGTATCCATGAGGGCCTAGTTCCAAGACACCTGTCACCCTGCCCTGTGGATACCAAAATCTGCAGATGTGCAAATCCTTTATATAAAAAGGTATGTGGCAAAATCACCCCTCCGTATAATCCACAGATACGGAGGACTGGCTGTATTAGTAAAAAGAAGAATATTTCTAACCAGCAAATCCCAAATCTTGTTCCTAGTTATATACTTTTGAGATATTAAAAAGTGTTCCAAGAAAAATGTTGTTTTATGTTTATGTTCTAGAATATATTATGTTATAGAATATATTAAATTTGAAAAAACTGTGTTAAACTTCCCACCTAAAAGGGACGGATAGAGAATGAGGTGAAGGTAAGAATGGGATGAAACTATCTGTTTATACATTACTTGTTTTTTAAGCTGAAAGTTTTATTCTCCTGCAGTGTGTTTTTAAGGTATCCCCCCAAAGTCTCTGGATGGAAATGTCTGAAGACATCACGGTAGTAGACGATCCAGGAGTTCTCTTCAGACAGGCTTTGCCTGACTGAGAACAGCTCTTGTCGGCAAAGCTGGCCTACAGGACGACTGTCCAGAGCAGGTACAAAGCAACCTATCCATACTGGAGCTGCAGAATATTACTCACTATGCCTTCAACATAAAACATAAACAGAACATAAAATCTGTTTTAAAGAACTATCAAGGAAAAAATGGTGTATAAGAATTTTCCCCATTCTCAGAAGCTTAGAAACTGATTTCAGGAAGGAAGTTAAAATATTAGGAAATAACTTGAAAAATCATAGGAAACTCTCTGTAATACAATTTTAAAAAACAAATCCTATCTAATGTTTGCCAAGTAAGCTCTTTAAATATAAGAATTTTTAAAAAATTCTCAGTGACAAAAATTTTCAATGACAAGTATAATAAAAACTAAGTACAGAAACATAATGCTCATATAAACTTTTAAAATTTAAAAACCCATAAATTATTAAACTCTCACAGTCAGTTTCTACTTACCTGTCTCTGAAAATATAGAGCAATGAACAGACTTGGGGATTGGGACACTCAAGTCACACTTACCTTTTGTGCATGGCACAAATAGAGAGTAGGTGGGAGACATCTAGTGGCCCTGGTTATAAATATCCTTCTGTTACCTGCGCCCTAGTTTAGTATAAGATGATGCTTTAAAGAAAAGTTAAAATGGAAACATTCTCACACTGCTCAGTTTTTAAATTTTTAATTGAGTATTAAGTTATACAGAAGACCATCTATAACATATTTTCGCCTGGGGAAAGGTGAGGTGGAATAGATTCTGAATGTAATCAAGCCCCTGGACCCACTTATCAATTCACAGGAAATACTACTGGGAACGGAGGACATGATTTAAAAAAAAAAAAAAAAAACATTAACAGAATGCAAATCCTGACTGTGGAAAACTGGAGAAAAGAAAACAGTTTCTTCTTCAACAACAACCAACAAAGCAGGGTGGGGAGGACAAAAAGAACGAGGTACCATGTATCTATGCCACAAGACTAGCTTTGCATTGACAGCTGCTGAAGACATGATGGGTATGTGGAAGTTGCCCAGTCGTGTCCCGACTCTTTGCAACCCCATGGGTGATAACAGTCCATGGAAGTCTCCAGGCCAGAATACTGCAGTGGGTAGCCTTCCCCTTCTCCAGATGATGGGTATATGGGAGATCAATTTTCTGTTTTCTCTAATTTTGTTTATGTTTCAAATTTTCCATGAGGATTGGGGGAGTATGAAGGGGCACTTAAGAAATTACAGTAAGAACTAGTAAGACTAGTAAGTAAAAACTTGATTGCTTATAGCCTAAGAGACTGTATAACCAGAAAACTAAAATCCTGCCCCATCATAGTGAACTCCAGCCTGGAAGTCTTAAAAAATTGGGCAAAACTGTACAACATACAAAATCTTCCTGGCTACAATACTTTACAAATTTGATCAGCTGGTACTTATTAACAACCTGAATATCTAGTGTAATACCCACATTACATACTTTAACCTACTGATACATGTGAGTTTTCAGAGCCATATTTAAAATGACCATAAATCAAAAGTCTTGTGACTACTGCTTATAGAACCCACCACAATACCTGAATTTAGAAATTATAGTATCCCAAAGGATTAAAGGGGGACCAGTAAACTAATTTTCTTTGGCAAAGATGCCAGGATAAAATGCAACTAGTTAGTGAATACTTTTATTACTGCTGGTGCTGCTGCTAAGTCACTTCAGTCATGTCTGACTCTGTGCGACCCCATAGACTAGCACACTTGGGAAAAGCAACTAACAAAAAAGATAGTAAGTATTAACTTTCCTTGTTTTCTACTTACCAGTCTTTTATGTAAATTAAAAAAGAGATCAGTGAAACTTGTTTGAAAGCAATGGAAATGGGTTTGGATGTTATCATTTTCCTGAACTGAAAAAATACTTTCTTTGGCATAAAATTTCATATGTAGGTCATTTCTAAGAATCAAATCAGCTTTGACAAGGGGGAAACTAAGTGTTGTTCTGAAGTATTATGTGAAAACACAATACTAACATTTTATTGTATACTTCAGCTAAACTTCATCTACATGACAAGGCAGAGAGAAGTTTTATTTATTAGAAAATTTAATTATCAAAAAAACTACAAGTTCACTGTGACTGCTGCCAAATGAGATTTACATATACACACCGCATGACATACCTTAGCTTTAACACATCTTACAAATTTCTACAATTTGTATTTTCTCATGGAAGTAGAATAAACCCTGGTGGCTCAGTCATAAAGAATCTGTCTGCAGTGCAGGAGACCCAGATTCGACCCCTGGGTCAGGAAGATCCCCTGGAGAAGGGAATGGCTGCCTACTCCAGTATTCTTACCTGGAGAATTCCAAGGACAGAGGAGTCCGGTGGGCTACAGTTCATGGGGTCACAAAAAGTCTGACATGACTGACTGACTAACACTTTCACTTTTTCAAAGTTAGATGATTTCCATTTGGGAAGATAAAAAGCTAAAAGCATTTCTCCCAAGCAATTTTCTTAGGCGATTATAATTTTTCCTGTTTTTATGCACTATATTTCACTTAACTCCAAAATATTTTTCCCATATTTTGGTATCTCTGAAATTGGGACTTGGCTTACAATGATAATTGAAATGTTTCTGCTTTCTTAGTGTTATATAAAATAATAAGTATTATATAAACAAAGCAAATTACCTAATTTTTTAACATCAAAATATTATTGCATGTAACAAAATTCACTGATAACTCTCTGCTACCTCAATACCTGTTTTAACCCTTATTCCAATTTTATATTCATTGGTAATGTGTACAAATAAAACTCTAAATACACTAAAAGTCTGTTAATAGTTTCTGAAAGCCTTTACTAACAATATTTTTAAGTTTTTAATTATCTAAAGTTTCGTCTATAAAATACGTTCTCAAAGTCTTCCTAATGTTTGACAACTGAAGTAATTCTAGCACAAGCATGTAAAAACTTTGAATAATCAATATTTTAGTAATCTGAAAATCATGTACCGAGCAGGCACAAAGGATTAACTTCTACTTGAAAGTGTACCTGTAAAAATACTGAATGTTCTATGCAACATCCAAATCCATAAACTGAATGAGTTAATTCCAACAAGGCAGAGGAGTTGCAAAGATACTCCTAAGACATAACTTGTACTAATTTTATTTTTCCAAGGGCAATTTTATCTAATTCTCTAGCAAAAAAAGAATTTCCCTATTCTCAGAGAGTCTGGTGTATAAAATACAAGTAAATATAAAACCATGAGAGAGAACTGCTCAAGAATATAAAACAAAACAGAATAAAGTCAACCCTGTGTAATCACCAGACAGGCCTGCTGGTACCTGATGTAGGTGAGTAGCGAGTACATGTAAGACCCTAGGATAATCTGATGAGCATTATCATGGGGATAATGAATCCATTCTGCTTAATAGCACACAACAGTATAAAGAACAGAATTTGGTAAATTTCACCAAATTGGAGCTGTAAAGCTGTTCAAAGCAGTTCAGAAAGGAGGTCCTTACAATACTGAGACAACTGCTCTAGTGTCATATCTGCTCGTTGTTTAATTTGGTTTTTCAAACACCTCAGAGAATGAAGATCCTGGAGACCTTATGTGTTCTAACAGAAGAGACTTATATTCTTCCAGGTCACTGACTGTACCTGCTAATCCCACTAAGAAAGGTCTACATCCTTGATGCCATTGCCTGTCAACCCTCTCCCAACTACTTTAGTGAAAGATCTCTTTACAGGCACCACAATTTCTCAGCAGCCGTATATTGAGAGCAGTAACCTTAGGGTTCCTACACTACTTGGGACCTCCTAGTGCCCACTGCACTGAAACGTCCCGTCAGAGCAGATTTTTCAAACTGTTCTTGCCTGGCAGCCATTGTCCCCCTTCCCTTAGTCATTTCCCCACTCTTTCCCTTCAATCCCTTGAAACACAGTTTGAAAAATGGATGCTCGAGGGCCCCGTCTGGAATCACTGGCCTCTCTTTAACTCTCTCCCTTCAGCTATTAACTCACCTCCTGGCATCGTACTGCTCAGCCTTCTCTCATCCTGCCGCTGCGGACCTCTTTCTCAGTCATCCACACCATCCTGCTATTTCCACATAGTAAATATCAAGTTTCCTCAACACAGAGGTCCCATCCACCAGATTGAAACCCGACTCTCACAAGGCCCACGAAGCTGACAGCCCTCACCCACCTTCATTCTCCTTTTGTCAGGAGGTGCTGCTGTCTCCCATGGCTCCACACTGCACTCTCAGACCATATCTCTTTTACTCTGTACTTCTGTATTTTGCATAAAAGCTACTCCTTTTCTCTGATGCTCATGTCACTAGTGGTTTTCAGAAGCGTACTAAACTTAGAATCCTCTTCAAGGATAAATCTTCCTATCTCCCTTCAGCTATTAACTCACCTCCTGGCATCGTACTGCTCAGCCTTCTCTCATCCTGCCGCTGCGGACCTCTTTCTCAGTCATCCACACCATCCTGCTATTTCCACATAGTAAATATCAAGTTTCCTCAACACAGAGGTCCCATCACCAGATTGAAATCCGACTCTCACAAGGCCCACTAAGCTGACAGCCCTCACCCACCTTCATTCTCCTTTTGTCAGGAGGTGCTGCTGTCTCCCATGGCTCCACACTGCACTCTCAGACCATATCTCTTTTACTCTGTACTTCTGTATTTTGCATAAAAGCTACTCCTTTTCTCTGATGCTCATGTCACTAGTGGTTTTCAGAAGCGTACTAAACTTAGAATCCTCTTCAAGGATAAATCTTCCTTATGGTTTTGATACCCCACTGTCTCCTCTGCTGAGAATTTGTTCTTTCAAGTATTACTTCATTCGTTTATATTTTCAACCTCTTCAGAATACATAAAAAGCACGTCTGTACACAGAAAACCAACTTTTGCTCCATTCCTTTCTTCTAACTGTTGTAGTCTGTGTGTTAAAGCTTCCTAAAAGGATAAGCTACACACCAGTAAATATCAAGTCCACCGGTACTGAAATGGCACTTTCTAGGGTAACGAGAAATCCCATTAGGAAACGTATCACAACCACTTTTTCATCTCAGGTGAAATCGCTGAACGAACATCGTCACTCCTGGATTTCCTTGACCCCGCTCCCTCTGGCTTTTCCGCTGCCTCTGACTTCCAGAAGCCTTCTCTGCCCTTGCTGGCCCTCCCTGACCCTCTCCAACTCTGCCTGTCTCTCCCGCACTCTCCGGAGCCCACCACGCCGCCCCCACGCTCCACCCCAGCCACTGGCTGCTGCAGAACTCGGCCGGCCCCCAGCACCTCCACATGAAATGCTCCAAACACAACTTCCTTCTGCCTTCCCACTGGAGCCGCTCTGCCTCTGAGGACCCTCCTCGTATTAATTTACCCAAAGACCTGAGAGTCATGGGAGACGTTTCACTTGCCCTATTACCTACATTCAGTGACTCTCCCTGCTGTGTAAAGCCCACTATCTATAAACTTCCGATATATTTTATTGTGGGCCCCAAGAACTCCAAACTTTCCCAGCAGTCTCACAACCAGTCTCAGATGTCTCATTCTCTCCCAGTACATCAGCCAAGTGGCCACTCTGTTCTGAAAGTCAGGATCCCATCAGGTTACTTGTTCCCTTCTTTAAAATCCTTCGATGGCATGCCTCGCCTGCAGGATGAAGTGCAAAACCCTCGGCATGTTATAAAATGCCGTCTGCGATGTGGTCTCTGCTGACCTCCCAGCTTCATCTGTGCTCTCTCCTCACGCTTTCCTATCCATCAACTCTGTTCTCTCATGTGCTTATCTTATGCATGCTTTTCTCCTTTGCTTGGGATGTATTCCCTTCACCCATCAAACCTAATAAACACCCATGCACCCTGATCTTTAGCCTGAGTGTTACTTCCCTGCAGCACCTTCTCAGAGGCCTCACGGTGTTCCTTCCCCCCACACACCTCTAATGTGCTATCTACCATATCACTGAAAGTTGCTCAGTCATGTCCGACTCTTTGCAATCCCATGGACTATACAGTCCATGGAATTCTCCAGGCCAGAATACTGGAGTGGGTAGCCTTTCCCTCCTCCAGGGGATCTTCCCAACCCGCGGATTGAACTGGGGTCTTCTGCACTGCAGGTGGGATTCTTTACCAGCTGAGCCTCTAGGGAAGACCAAGAATATTGGAGTGGGCAGCCTACCCCTTCTCCAGTGGCTCTTCCCAACCCAGGAATCGAACTGGGGTCTTCTGCACTGCAGGTGGATTCGTTACCAAATGAGCTGTCAGGGAAGCTATCATATCACTATTTGTCTATTATTCTTCCTCTCCTATTGGATTGGGAGTTCCCCAAAGGGAGCAACTATTTTGTACTGTTGAAATGTATATCACTGGCATGTAGCTCACTGCCCAGCACATAGCAGTTTACAAAACATTCAAAACATTACAAATCATTGGTGAAGACCAAGTGTGTCTTCACCCACTACAGAGGTCCCGGTCTGTCTTATGATTGTGCCTTTGCATTTAAGATAGAACACCATGAGTTCCCACTATAAACGGCAATCGGTTAGGGTGGAGTGAGGGGAAAGTTAATCCATTCCATTTGGAAATATCCTAGTTTTTTAATGGTGAATAGCAATACCCACCCTCTGATTTAAATGTCAACAGAGTTACAGCTCTAACACCAGTTAAAGAGGCAGGGTCTTGTCACACAACAAACTTACTAAGCAGCAGGGTCTTAAAGGAAACCAGGAAAGTCAACAGACAGGCTGACCTTGTATAAAAGTATATCTTATTAAAAATTATGGGGAAGATAAAAATTAAAAAGTTAGGTGTTAGCCTAGGTATTACTAAAGTTCAGGGTTAGCAACTGAGACTAATTTTAGGCAAATTTCCCATAAAATAAACAGAACTGGTTACATAATCCCATCTATAAAAATTATAGTACATAGGCAAGTTAGTTTTAGATTATAAATTTTAAAGAACCAGGTACCTTCATTATAAAAGTGTAAGATACTTAAATATGGCTGTATATTCAAATAAAACATTTACATAATTCCTAAAAATAGAATTATTGTTTAGCCAGATATTCTATAACTAACCAGACACAGTGCATGGCCCAGAATAGCTAAATTACTGACTCACAATGCAAAACCATTTTCATTTTGTTTAAAAATAATAAAAGGAGGCATTTGTTTTTTGGTTTAAACACAGAGTCTAAAACGGAATTTTTCAGGTGTCTGCTTCCTTTTCCACGCCTGAGACTGCAGTGTTCTCAATGCAGCACTGATTTTATAGTCTGATCTTTTCATAAGCTCTCCCTAAAAGTGTTAACTGGAGCTATCGACAGCATTAACAAAATGAACTCACCAGACCACATCTACCTAAAATAACTTCTTCCCTTAAGACTGAGATAGGAGGGCCAGAGAATTCTCTCTAATGCCTGATAACGCAATTTTAACGCTCTACTCAGCATTATGACATTAGACTAATCTGTGCAGTTTTGGTAGTCCCAGCTATGCGATTCCCTACATTATTTGGTAATACGACTTCCAGAAAATTAACTACTTTTAACACTGAACACATGAATTTAGCAATTCTATACATGACACTTTAATACTGTTAGAAGAACCCACCAGAGAACTGATAGAAACATGATCATCATACATAGAAAGCCAGGGATTACTATTAATCTAAAGAAATGTTAAAATTCTATGGTTCCCAAGTTAGATAGTACAAACAAGTAACCTATGTATCCAAACAGGCCCATTATTATAAAATGTCACTCACCATCCCCAGCAGGAAGTCCTCTCTCTTGTTTTTCATCACATTTGTTGCATTCACTGAAGTAAAGCAGCAGGAACATATCCAAGAGTACCCAAATCAAGGAGGTGGCCAGGACCACCTTGCAGTATGCAAATTTTCTCATGGCACTTTAAGTCAAATGCAAAATTTTAAAATATATATGTATAAATATACAAAGATCATGAAAATTACTCCAATCCAGTTTCATCAGAAATCACTTTCATAACCTACAGACAGAAAAAGAAAAAAGATTAACTAAAAAATTCAGAACCTAAAGCACAATTGAAAGATTAACTTAGTATGCATATGAAATATTACTATGAGGAATAAGTTCTAAATCAGACTTCAAAAAATACTTGTAAAATATATAAAAATTGACAGTATCAAAAACATGCAAATAACTCCTACAAATCAATATACACAATAAAATAGAAAAATGGGTAAATGACACAAACAAGGACTTTGCAGAAAGGAAACAGGAAGAGCCAATAAACAAGTGAAAATGGGCTCGATTCACTACAATTAGGAAAATACAAATTAAAACAGTGACTATCTCATATCCATTAAACACGTGGGGCTTAACTGCCTTCTATTCAACTGCTATATTAAACGCTCAAGTAAAAGCTAAGCCATTAACTGCCACAGGGGTTTAAGAAATCAGTAATTCCCAGTCCATTTCAAACACTCCCATTCAGTTCCCAAGGTCCAAGGATTTATGTGAGCTCTCCTGGTAGCTGTACTACAGCAGTTTAACTGGAGTGATTCTCCTTCCTCTGTACCACTGAATCCCATTCTAAAATGCTAGTCACCAGTCATTCAGAAACAGACTCATGGAAAGCGTAGAAGAAAAGGGCATCGAGAGATCTGAGGCCTGGACTTGGCTCGGACAGTAACTGCATAGACTTCCCCGAAGTTTCGTTTCTATGTGCCCCACCCCCACCCCAATCTATTACAACATCTTGAGAAAATGACTGGAGAAATGGCCACCAAATCTGGGATGGTTAGACTGGAAACACTCCTGGCACGTTGGCTCTTGTCTGAGGGCACACTGGAGCAGTCCCAGGGACCTCAGGTGAGGAGTCATCGCACGGAGCCGTGGGCAGCAAGGCTCAAAGGTGCGTGTCAGTGCTGCCCGGGAGACGGAAGAACCAGCTGCACCTGGGGTGGATGGAGGAAACACCTGGCACAGGTGCCCCCCACTGAAAGCCAATGCGCAGACGCTCTGAAGGGCTGGGATGCTACCAGGGGGGCCCAGGAGCGTCTTACAAGGGCAATTTATGCAGCATGAACCCAGGACAGACCAGAGAGTTTATCTATGAAAAAGATAACAGTTCTTTCCTACCTCACGAAGGGGCTAGCCAGCAACCTGAAAAGCACCCTCAAAATACTAAGTGACACTTGTAACTGTGAAGTATGATTTCTGCTCACCTCTCTGGGGACTATGATTTCTTGCCTATCGGTCTCCTTCCACCAAACCAACACTCCCCACTTGTACACTGAGAACAGGGGTGCCACTGTTGGACTCTTGCCTCAAGTCCCTCACATGTGGTGAGCAATCACTACTAACTCTAGCGACTGGGGTGAGGGCAAGGCCAAAAGGATTACAACGCGAAATGTCAAGGAACAACAGATCTCTCCAGAGAAGCCGATATACAATGTATTTCAAGCCACTTCACGTGCAAGGCTACCTCTCTTGGTCACTGGCAAAGCAAGTGGTCTAGCTGCTGGTGCGATATCTGGGACGCAAATGTGGTTCTGTGTTCTCTAAAGCCTGCTGATTGTTATTTCTTTCAAAGCTTACAGCCCAGAACACTTAAATGTAAGTCTTTATAACTCTGTATCCATCCCTGTTTAATTTTTCCAAGGCAGCACAATTAGATTCTAAAATTGAAGATGAAACGCAGTGGGTGTGTGTGTATTTGTAAGGAGAGCGGTACAGAGAAAGCAGGAGGTGCAGGGAGAAAGGAGAATAAAGAGGAGGCAAAAACCTCTGAAACCTTGGGCCAGAGATTCCTCAGATACTAACAATAAAATGCACAAATCATTAAAAAAAAAAAAAAAGACTGGAAGTTGGACTTAATAAAATCTGCTCTTCAAAAGACAGTTAAATAAAAAACAAGTCACATATGGGGAGAAAATATTTACAAATGATTCATCTGATAAATTACTTGTACTCAGACCACATAAAAAACTCTCCAAATACAGTGTTTAAAAACCCTAATCCGAAACAATGGGTGAGAGGTTTGAACTGTCACTTCACTGGAACAGCAATTTAGGTGGTAAACGAGTACAAGAAAAGATTTTCAACATTGTTAGCTATTGTGTGTGTGCACTCAGTCAGATCTGACTTTGCAATCCAGGGACTGTGGCCTGCCAGGCTCCTCTGTCCATGGGATTCTCCAGGCAAAAATACTGGAGCGGGTTACCACTTCCTTCTCCAGGAGATCTTCCTGACCCAAGGATCAAACCCATGTCTCCTCTGTCTCCTGCACTGGCAGATGGATTCTTTACTGCTAATGCCACCTACGAGGGAACTGCAAATTAAAAACACAATGAAACACCACTATGCACCAATATAAACAGCTAAAGGAAAAAAGAAAACTACCAAACGCTCGCAAGAACTGCTGTAACTGGACCACTAACACACTGCCAGTGGAATGCAAAATGGTACAGTCTCCAGAAAACAAGCATTTTTCTCCCATAAGAATCTTACTTAAGAGAAAGGATAATATACGTCCACACAAAGACTTATACACAACCTTTCTATCAACTTAATCATAACCATCAAAATCTGGAAACAATCCACACGTCCACCACCTGGTGAATGGATAAACAAATTGTGGTACTCTAAACAGTGAAGACTTCAACCCAGAAGTCCAGCAATCAAAAAGAACTCTCCATGTACATGCAACAGCACTGATGAATCTCATAACCCTTATGCTAAGTCAAAGCGGTCAGTAACAAAAGGCTGCATTTCGTATGCTATATGATGCCATTTATGAGACAGAAATCAGAACGGCTGTTGCCAGGGGCTTGGAAGAGTAGGGGACTACCCTCAAAGGACAGTGAAGAAACTTGTGATAATGGGAAACCCTCTACTCCCAGCTTGTGGTGGTGGTCACACAACTGTGTCCATTTGTCCAGACAGGTACGACTATACTTAAAAGGGTGAATTTTACTGTATATAATAAATTGAACCTCAATAACCTTAAAAACAGGTAAATATAGAAGAGGTGAGGACCCTTCAAAGAAACAATTTAAATTTTAGGAGGATAACTGTTGTATATTTCTTCAAGTACCTTAAACACTTACCAATGGGTTAAGTACCCTCCCAGTCATTCAGAATAAATCAGCGGTATGTCATGTCTTTTTTAAGTAATTGTATTATACCTACATATTCTCAGAAATTTTGGAGTGAGTTCTGGGTACATGGTTATAGTTTTACAGAACCAAATAAATTTTTTCATACTATTTATTTTTATTTTTGCCTGCACTAGGCTTTCCTCGCTTTTCGCAGGCTTTCTCCAGCTAGGGTGAGCGGGGGCTACTCTGCGGCGCCCGGGCTTCTCCCTGCGGGGACCTCTCTTGCTGAGGGGCGTAGGCTCACTAGTTGCAGTGCATGGGCTGAGCTGCTCCAAGGCTTGTGGGATCTTCCTGGACAAGGGATCAACCCAGTGTCCCCTGCACTGACAGGCAGATTCTTATCCACTACGCCGCCAGGGAAGTCCAGGTATATCATGTTTTGAAGCAAGTGTAACATCTATTTTGACTCAAATATTTTAATGTCTTAAATGTCCCTACAGGAGGAAAAGACTGAAATGTTCATGACCATAAAGGGGTAGCATGAGAGATCTCTGTGGTAATGCTGCTGAGATTTTTTTAAGTCAGCTACACTGCCCATCATGGAGAGAAAGCCGACCTGCAGTCCAAGAGGGTGAATTCAAACAGAGGCATGCAGGATGAGAGGAGGAGGGTCCCGTAGTGACTGAGTCCCTGTCTCTTCTTTGGCTTTCGTGACCACTCAGGAATTCTTCTAATAATCCCCTTTTCCGCTTATGAGAGTTTGAACGGAGTTCCTGACATACACCTGGGATGTGGAAGTGGGGGGAGCGGAGCAGAAACAGAGGAAACCTAAAGTCAGACAGGCTCTGGTCCACTTCTGAAGTTCCTCTCTACTAGTCAGAACAATTATACATCATGAGGCACACTATGCTACTTGAAAGGACACTGAATTGCTTATAAACGGAAAAATCTGAGGCTTGCTTTTCTTCTAACACTACATTCCTCAAGCCCATTCATGCTGCATGTAGTTGTAGTCACTTCCTTTTCACCACTGTATAATACTCAACTGGCTTATAGTAATGTAATCATACACTAGGGGGCTAATCATAGTTTATCCCTTTCATGCTTAATAGGCATGGGGTTATTTCTAGGCTTAAGCATGTTTCCTGGTACACATGCGCCAGGGGTCAGCAAACTTCTGCAAAGGGCCAGATAGTAAACATTTTAGGCTTTGCGGGACATAAGATCTCTGTGGCAACCACCTGAATCTGGGGTTGTACCACAAAAGCAGCCATGATATGTAACCAAGTAAATGTGACAGTATTCCAATAAAATGAAGCTTATTTATGGACACTAAATTTGAATCTCCTTTAATTTTTAAATTATAAATTATGAAATTATTTCTTAACCAATTAAAGATGTTAAAAATCTCTCTTAATTCATGAGTTGTCACAACACTGATCTAGAGTACATACCTAGGGATATTAGGTCATAAGACTACACATATTTTCAATATGACAACATATGGCAAACTTGCTTTCCCAGATTTCTAAAGCAAAATGAGAGCTCTGGATGTGTTATGTCCTTGGCAACACTTATTGATGTCAAACTATTTAATTTTTTGACAATCTGGTAAGTGTATAATTTGAGTTTCCCCACCATCTCTGACATTTCTATTTCCTCTTCCTAACGTACCCACTGAAGTTTATTCTTTTGGGTGAAGTTGTTTTGCCTTTTTCCTATTAGTTTGTAAAGATCTTTATACAGTCTGGACCCTAATCCGTGTCGGTTACATGTACTACAAGTATCTTTTCCCAGTTAATAGCTTATCTTCTTAGTAAGACATGTCTTTTGTAGTTCATATTTTCTATGTCTTAAGAAGTTTTTCTCTACCTAGAGATCATTAAAAATATTTTAATGTCTACAAGTTTTAAAGTTTTACCTTTCCAGTGTAAGTACAGATTCAATAGTATTTTCTTCCATATGGATAACCAATTGTCTCTGTACTGTTTATGCAAAGTTTAATCTTGCCCTAAAAGTGTGCAATGTCAACTTTGTGATAAGTCATGTTTCTGAGGTTCTACATTCTGTTCCATTGGTCTGCTTATTCCTACACCACACAGCATCTTAATTATAGCTTTACAACAATTCTTGGTACCCAGTAAAGCAAATATTCTCACCTTTTACTAGTTGAGGAGTGCCTTAGCTACTTCTGACCCACTGGCCTTCCTTAGCTATGCTGACCATTTAATTACTTAAAATGACATTCCATCTACTGCAAAAGAAATCCAGTAGTTAAAAATGCTTATATGTCTATGGCGGAACAATTTTACTGTTCTGAGAAAATAAACCAATTAAAAATTCACAGAAGTCATAAAAAAAGTTGGTGATGAGAAGAGGGATTAAATTCAAGAAGTCAAAAGAAAAGTTCTAAAAATGTTCTTCAAAATGACATTATTAAAATAAATGCATAGTATCTCTACTACATTGTTATTCCTTTAAAAAAAAAAAAAGCAGTATTTTAGAGTCCCAATCATTTCACGCTGCCTGGATATTTACTGAGTCTTGGCCAACTCTGATCTTGATACCGGGTCAGACACTGTAGATGCTAGGAGCATGAAGGCAACGATCCACACCATGGAAACTGTTATCACACTATTAAATACCAGGGCAAGAGACACGCCATTCACATTACAAAAGAGAAACACCAGTTCAGGAAACCTGGCAGGAAAAAGACATGCAGATAGGGAAGTTTCTAAACAGGTTTTATCATACTGTTTAAGATACTAAACTTTGCTGCAACAAGGTTTTCTTCAAATTTTTTCTACAGATGTTTTGTTTCTCTCTCTCCTTTAGCTAAAATCCTTTAAGGGCTTCCCGACGTCCTGCTATTTTGTTCTGAAGAACACCATTTGTAGGACTCATACCTCAGAGTTCTCACTAAAGAAATTCCATGATCAAACAAGTTAGGGAAATGTTACTTCCTCAATTTGCTCTGAGAGATTCATTCTGTATATTACTGCACCAAAGGTTCTATGAAGCCCTGCATTGAGGGAAGCTGTGCGATTCTGTTAACTCAGAACTTCTCAGGTTCAAGCATGGAATCTTCCCCAACTACTCTGTCTTCCTTTTTTGCACAACATAAAGCAGTTTTCAAACAGCAATAAATAAACTAGTGAAGACTGGCTTTAAATCCTGGAACCAGGTAACTTTTTAAGCTATGAGTTATTTTCTTTCTGCAAAACTATTTCTGTAAAGCTGCAAACTGAGTAAAAAAAAAGAAATCCGCCCCCCAAAAAAAGAAAAGAAATCCCACTGTGTTTAAAAGCGTCTCATGAGGCTGACTTTCCTAGATAGGTCAATGTGTAATTTTGTAATATTTTAATTAAGTTAATAAAATTAATTTTGTTAATCTTGTGATATTTTAACATAACATATACCTGTATACAGTACAAATGAAAAGTGAAAGTGTTAGTCACTCAGTCATGTCTGACTCTTTGCAACCCCATGGCCTGTAGTCCACCAGGCTCCTCAGTCCATGGAATTCTCCAGGCAAGAATATGAGAGTGAGTTGCCATTCCCTTCTCCAGGGGATGTTCCCAACCCAGGGTTCAAACCTAGGTCTCCTGCGTTGCAGGCAGATTCTTTACTGTCTAAGCCACCAGGGTTTGTGGACAAAATGAGAAATCCAAAAGTCACCATTATATACAAATCCCTAAAAGAAAAGAATCTAGAAGCTTCCCTTCAGGTAAGTGAAATTTGCCAACTATTTCTACTATCATTTATTTTTTTTCAAGTGTGGAGTATCATATTCTACAGAATATATCAACATTAAATTTTGCATTCAGCAAACGCAACATTATTTCATGTGGAAGTCTGTGAGGAAAGAGTTAACACAGCAGGTGTGTTCTACCCTGTCCGTGCTAAGCCCAGGGGGATGCCTAGGGCCATGGCAATGACCCCTGGCCAAATGCTGAGAAAGAAACTCCTGGAATGTTCACGGTTATTTGTTAAGGATATTAGAGGTGGTGAGTCAGGATGTACCAGGCTGTCAGCATTGTTTAAAGAAATCATCAAGATTTATGACGTGCACCTGGTATCTGGTCTGGGGCCCAAGTCTCAGTTGCCAAAGCTGGCCACATGTCAGGAATACGCCTACGTGACCAGTTGGCTACCAACAGGAACTCTAGGCTATAACACTCCTGCGCTTCCCTGACCAGAGACGTCTTGTACATGTCTCTATCATTCATAGCTGGAGGGGAACTCGTGTTCCTGTGATCCTTACGGAGGGAAGACTCAGAAGTCCAGACCTGATCTCTCCAACATTCACCTGTTTATATCTTTTTTCTGCTGTTCTTGCACTGTATCTTTGGCTGTAATAAAAATGCAGCTGTGAGTACAACACTATGTTGAGTTGTGGCAGTCTTTTCAGCAAATCAAACTAACCGGCAGTCACAGGGCCCCCAAAACCAATACCGTAATACCTACTTCTCGCATTCCTTTTCAGAAGCTGCATGATCATAAGGACGATATCCCTGAATGAATAAATCAGCATACAGCATAAAAGCTAAGACATAGGCCTGAGATTACTGTCTTTAGAAAGGTCTGGTTGCAATGTTAGCCCTTGGCTAGTGTCTGGGAACTTGAGTGATAGACAGTTTCCTACGCTGATATAAATCTTACCTTAAATGATAAGCGGGCCTCACTGTACTGAAACTGCCTGTACAACAATATGATTTATGCAAAACATCTCTTTTCCTTCTGGAGCCTGAAATTTTGGTACATGCTAGGCAGAAGGTGCCTCCATTACCAGGTCTGATAAAAACACTGGCACTGAGTCTAATGAGTTTTCCTGGTTGACAACACTTCACACGTGTTGTCAAAATTCACTGCTGAAGGAATTAAGCTTACCTGGAGGAATTAAGCTTATTCCACGGGAAGCGGACTCTAGGAAGACAGTAACTGCTTCCCTCCAGATTTCACTTCTTCCCTTTGCTAACGCTGCTTTGTATCCTTTTGCTGTAATAAATCTTAGCTATTATTCAGAGATCATATGCTGAATGCTATGAATCCTCCTAGGCAATGACTAAACCTGGGGATGGTCTTGGGAAAAGCCAACACAATCAGCATTTTAAAACAGAAGTGACGGCGTATTAGGCCAAAGGCTGAAATTCACATTTCAATTCCAGAACGTATTAATATCAATAATGTGCTCCTAGCAATCGTACTTTATTTGCATAAACCTGGGCCTCCTTATTCCTTAAATGAGAAAAACATACCAACGTCACAGTCCCTGAATTAAACGCAGTAATGCACAACACACTCACAGTAAACACTTAGTCAATATTAAATAGTAATTCTAAAGGCTCTTTCTTAGATGAAACAAAAAAATTAGGAATGTTTTACATTTGTACTGATGCAACTGGAGTCCTGCAAAGAGAAGCTCGGAGACAAACCTGAAACCTACATCTTCCTAACACTGGCGCCATGAGTGCTTTCCAGTCCACACGTCAGGATTACTGGTTGAACACAAGCAGGTTAAACCCTATATAATAAGTTATCTTTCTATTTCTAAACCTGATCTTCATTTAGTCTTCACATTGCTTTCATGAATGAGAACTGAATGTGCTAATTAATTAGTACCACAGGTGGTTATGCTTGATGGTTATATTTCTCAAATTACTATGCTAGGATTTAGTACAAGTCACTCACTTTATGGCATATATATGAGGCATCAAGTCCAGTCAGGGTAAATCTGAACCTGCGCCACTGTTAAGAGCAAATCCCAATGTAAAGAGAAGTCCAACCCTGAAGTCATTTACGCCCAGCGATCAACTTACCCCAAAGTGGCTTTTCAAATGAATTCACATCCCACATCCACATGTCCCACATCTCCTGCTGAAAAATAAATTTCCTAAAATCAGTTTATTACAGAATAACTCTATCCTCCCCACTTTACTTCAGCCACCCTATTCCACTGAACTAAGTGCCAGCCACCACCTGAGGATGAGGACCAGGTCTTACTCAGCTACTTCCCCCGTGCTGAGCACAACACCTGGCACAAAATGTATGTTGAGTTAATGTTTACTATGTGAATAAGTGAGTCAATGAATACAGTATTTCTGAGATCCAACACCAAGCTCAGTGGAAATATTGTAAAAAGTATCTTTCCTCTTCTTGGAAATCTACAAGGATATTAACTTCCCCAGTGGGAAGGCCAAGGACTCACAGATAGTACCCTGTGGCAGACACTGTTCCATATCCCACCCCTACTCCATGTTTTTCATGGCATTAGACCTCTAACTGAATTCAAGTGATCATTCTCTGCTAGATTGCCTATTCTTGACTGGTCCCAGCCAACTGTGACTGTTCCACTCCTGTTGCCAGTGTAAATAACCACATCTCAACCAGTAGGATCTGAGGGGAAATCTGTTGGGACGCATTCAGGAAAAGTTACGCTCCCTCATAGAGAAGCAGGAGGAGACACTATTCTGCCTTCGGATCGTGTGTGCAGAACATGCCGAGAAGTGCTGGAGCCATCCTGCGGGCACGAGGGGAGTCAGCATCAACACGCTGAGGATGACAAGGCGAAAACACAGAAAGCAAAAGGGCCCCTGACTGTCCCCCAGGGCCACTGACAGACTAATCCTGAAACTGCATAGGGCTGGACTGCTTGTTACCAAAGGGTAAAGCTGACTGTTTAACTGGCTATTCTGCAATACCTCAGTCAAAAGCATGCCAATACATCACTATGCAACCTATAATTACTGATTTAGATAGGCATGCAGCCTGTGAAGAAAAAAGAGAAATGTAAACCAGTGGAGCATCCAAATTAGGGAATCTACTTTTAAAGGAGATTCCATAGAAGGAAAATTCCAGTATAAATGTAATAGCTGCAAGATAGAACCTGGTATGTTGCATGCCCATTCTTTTTTTTTTTTTTTTTCATTTATTTTTATTAGTTGGAGGCTAATTACTTTACAACATTGCAGTGGTTTTTGTCATACATTGACATGAATTAGCCATGGATTTACATGTATTCCCCATCCCGGTCCCCCCTCCCACCTCCCTCTCCACCCAATCCCTCTGGGTCTTCCCAGTGCACCAGGCCCGAGCACTTGTCTCATGCATCCAACCTGGGCTGGTGATCTGTTTCATCCTAGATAACAGAACTGCCATACGACCCAGCAATCCCACTTCTGGGCATACACACCAAGGAAACCAGATCTGAAAGAGACACGTGCACCCCAATGTTCACTGCATGCCCATTCTTAACAACCCTTAAGCCTATCAGAGAATCACATATCCCTAATTCACTCAGACTTTAATAAACAACAAGGATGCACAAGACACAACATGGAGTAGTTTGATGCACATAAACATGAAAAGGGCTCAGCTTCTGCCTTCCATGAGCTTGCAGTCCAGAAGGACAGATACTATTAGTAAGTCTGTATGACACTTTACAATTTACAACATGCTTTTCTATTTCTGCAGCAGGTGCCAAGTTACAAGGAGCTACTGCGCACCAAGCAGAGAAAATGGTGAAGAACGACTGGGGAACTGGTCTGAGTTAGGAAAAGGCAAAAGGATATTTCAGGTGGACAAAACAATATGAGTTAAAATAGGGAGGCAGAAAAATCAAGGGACTTCTGGGGACAATGAACAGAAAAATGGGGAGATGCAGTTTTGTGTTCAGAAAAGGGAAATCCCATTCTACTTGAGACATCAAGTAGAATGAATATAAGAAAGAGTCTTGTTAGCACATTACGGTAATGTCCTCTCACACTAAGGCGTTTGAAGAGCAATGGTCAGGGAATGTTTCCCCGTGTTTTTAATTTTATCTCTTGAATTCAAATGTCAACTCATTACAACAGAACACCGTGGTTTCCGAAAATTTACATCTTTCCTCCTAACCACGAACTCAGATACAAGGAAATACACTGCCACCATCAGCAATGGAAAAATTAGAGATTCTGGGGAGGAGTTTCTGGCAAGTAACAGATCCAGGAGGAAACCTCCTCCAGCCCAGAGGCCCACTTTATCTCCTGGCTATAGAGCCCCCAAAGTCTCCAAGGGGAGTTTTGTTTCACATTTTTGCCAGAACATCCATCTAAGCTGTGAGTTCCACAATGCTGCCCTCGTCCCTTCAAATTATCACTCTCTCACTGTATTATAGTTCCCTTTACTACCTTCTGTGCAAGAAGTCTTCATCTTCTGTGTCTAACTTCTCAAATTCTCAACCCAATGTGGTCTGGCTTCACTTCAATGAAACTTTTTTTTAAATCAAATCACTCTAATGTTCTAACTACCAAGACAAGTCGCTTTCTTATATTCATCCTACCTGATGTCTCAGTCTCTTAAATTATTAATATCTGGGGAACAGACAAACTGTAAATAGAACCGAACTTCTTCTTGTCTGGGTTCCAAGGTCATTCCTTGCTCTCCCACTTTTCTCAACAAGCTTTGCAGTCTTCTCTGGCTTATCCCCCTCTGCCCGGGATGTGTCTGCAGGCTGACACTACACAGGTCCCTGGGGAATCCACCAGAGGTAAAGTGTTACCCACCATATGCTGATGGCTCCCACCTCTCTAACTTCTGTGACTTTCTGGGTAGAATGCAAGTTCCTCCAGCATGGGAATCAAGTTTTTCATATTTAAGCTCTAAAAATCTCATGAAATGTCTGAGGACAACAGAAACCCATGTACAAAATAACATCTCCACTCCTAAGTCACTCTTTATTTTGTTCTAATGCTTTTCTTTCCATTCTAGCACCAATGTAATTTACAATGTAATATGTATTAATTATCTTGTAAGCCTCACGAGGGCAGAGACTTTATTTTAATGCTATTACTACAGCACCTGGAATAGTACTTGGCACATGGCAGAAGAAGTTAATAATTATTTGGTTAAATGAACAAAAATACCAGAAAGCAACAGCATGTAAGAAGAAATAAAGGTACCTGAAATGAAAGCATTTTAAGGGTGCTGTGTTTAGGTTTAGGGCAGAGATATTTTATTAATTTAAGGCCTTTATGATTAATATTTTTAAAATTAAAAGATAACAACTAATTAAGTAAAAAGAGCATAATTAAAAACCAAACTGAAAAAAAGAAGAAATAGTAAGACCAGTCAATTTAGAATAAAACAAGAAGAAAATTTAAAATGATTTTAAAAACCCACAAATATAGAAAGCACAAAATGGCAGAAATAAATCCCCATACATAGGTAATTTAAATAAAGATAAAAAGCATAACTGTATTCATTAAAAGTTATCAGATTGGATTTTTTTCAACAAAAGCTATGTAAGGATTCAGAGCAGTTTACAGAGCAGTTAAAAGTGAAAGCAACCTTACCAAAGATATACGGATGGCAAATAAACATATGAAGAGATGCTCCATATACCAGTAAAATACAATTTAAACAACAAAATACCTCTATAGATGTACTACAATGGCTAAAACTCAGAACACTGACAACATCAAACACTGGCAAGGAACTCTCATCCAACAGGAACTATCATCTACCATGAAGTTTGCTGCTGTTGTTGTTTAGTTGCTAAGCCGTATCTGACTCTGCGACCTCATGGACTGTAGCCTGCCAGGCTCCTCTGTCCATGGGATTTTTCAGGCAAGAATACTGGAGTGGGTTGCCATTTACTTCTCCAGGGGATCTTCCTGACCCAGGAATGAAACCTGCATCTCCTGCACTGGCAGGCGGATTCTTTATCACTGTGCCACCAGGGAAGCCCTACCATGAAGTTTCCATCTGAGAAACTTACGCAGAGAAAGATATGCAGAAACGTATCCATAAAAGTAAGAAGTGAAAATGTCCACAGCTGATGGAAAAGAGAAAATTGCAAATCTGAGTTCAGTTAACCCTAAGCAAAACACAAAGAAAATCATGAGTACATTGTATTAAAACTGCTGAAAACTAAAGATTCAGAGAAAATCTTAAACCAACCAGAGGAAGAAAAAAAAAGACAGTATCCTATACAGAGAAAAAATGGATGAATTTTCATTACATGAAACAAAGACATTTTCAGATAAGAAAAAGCCAAAACAGCTCCTCTCTCATAGACCTGTATGCAGGTCTATAAGAAATGCAGAAGGAAAATGAAACCAGATGGAAACTCAGATCTGTAAGAGAAATGAAGACTATCAGCAATGGTAAATATCAGTAAATATAAAAGCCTAGATTTTTCCTCTTGATTTCTTAAAAGAGATGGTTGATGAAAAAAAAATTTCTAACTTTATATTGTACAATTTATTAACATACAGATGAAGTATAAGACAAAATTAGAGTAAAGGATAGTGGTGGGAGGAAATATAACTATATGGTTGCAAGGGACTTACCTTTTACACTTAATAATACAACCTAGCATCTATTCATGATATTTAAAACAAAAACAAAGAAATAGTAGGAAACTAGAAAAAATAATGAATTTTGTTAAGCTGATAAGGTTATCTGCCCTAAATCTACAGTAAACAAAACGCTTATTGGTGAAGTGTTGGAGGCATTCCCTTTGAATGAAGTTAGAAAAGGTCAAAAATGCCTCCTATCACTTTTTCCTCTGAACAGTGTACTGGAATTCCTATCCAGAACAGTAAAACAAGAAGAAATAACGGATTTAAGAAATGGAAAGAAAAAAACAGAGCAACCACAAAGGAAATGACAGAAAATCCAAAAAAATAAAAACAATTAGAACTAACGAAAACTTTTAGCAAGGTTGCTGGATTCAAGATAAACATACAAAATTCATCTAAGAATTCTAAGAAAATTTCTTAGAAACACCTTTTAAAAGATGAAGATATAGCATGCTCACATATGGAAGATTAGAGAAGTAAATTATCTCAGTATTAATCTACATAATTAATACAGTTCCAAGAAAAACCTCAATATAGTTTTTCAAAGAACTTAAAAAGCAGATCCTAAAATCAAACTGAAGGGCAAAGCCACAAAAGATTTTGATTTTTTGTGGCCAATAAAAATTTTGAACAGCAAGGCAATGGAACTCTGACTGCTACATGTCAATCAAGCTATAGAAATGGAGTCGGTGTGATCGTGGGCAGAGGCAGATTAAAAGATTAATCAAACAGAACAAAGTCCAGAATCAGATGTCCTTGAGTATGCAAATGGTACATGACAGAGGTGGCACCACAAATATATGAAAGGGATGGACTATTTAATAAATGTTTGTCCACATGTAAAAGTAAAATTCCTACCTCAGACTTAAAAAAAAAAAATGAGGCAAAGTATCTGTAAGTCCTTGGTTACAGAAGAATTTTTAAATGAACACTCAAAAAGCACAAACCATACAACGTTGTTCCAAGTGCAATTTGACACAGACATTTTGGAGGACAATCTGACAATGTCTAGTAAAGTTGACAAAAGCACTATTTTATCACTCCGTAATTCCACTTCTAGGTACACACCCAGGAGAAACCCTTATACAGGTGTAGAGAGAAACATGTAAAAGCACTGCAGCATTGTTTATAATGGGGAAGAAAGGTAATCTAAAAATGCATCAAGAGGAAAGTGGATACATGAACCCTATAACAATGCTACACACAGTTCAAGTAGAACTATGTATATCAACCAGGTAAATAACGCTGAATGAAGGAAAAAAGTAATCTGCAGGATATGCAAAGAATGTTCCACTTAAACACAGTTTTAAAAGATACTAAAATAAGACACTGTTCATGGACACAAACATATAATGTAAAGACAAAATAATATGCATGAGAATAATGTAACACATTCATATATGGTTAATTCTCAGGAAAAAGGGAAAGGCTTTAACTACAATGGATGTTTTTTTAAAGGTAAGAGACCTAAAATTGTGGCAAGTTGCTAGATGTTCCCTGAATATCTGCTTTCCTTTTGTTTCTCTTCAAACTACTGTACTGTGACTGGCAATTTACATATCCTGGCCTGACACACAGATTAAGGTAGCCAGTAAGGATTAATTTTGGAGAAGGAAATGGCAACT